CGCTCCTCAGAAATTATATACAGGATCGCTATGAGTTGGAAGCAACACAACAGCACTTAACAACAACAAGAAGAATATATTCACTCTGGGAATGAACTACATGTATCTCTTGGTGGAGATGAAGGAGTACAGGAAATCAACAGCTAAAGTGTTTGAGTTCAAAACCCAGCTCTGCCACTTACCACCTGTGCAACCTTGAGCTGGTTACTTAGCCTCTCTGTGCCTTGGTTGTCTCCCATAAAATGGGGAGGGTAATACCCAACTCACAGCATTATTAAGAGGATTATCTGATGTTTCACATTTACAACAATAGTCAAAAATCTACTGTGTAACTACTTGGCGCTGCCGTGTCGTTTGCCTGTCAAGAATAAACAGAGGTGCAAGACGAGAGCAACGCTGGCTGTGATGGTGAAGGTTGTGTATCAGCTTGGCTGGGCCATGATTCTCAATGGTTTGGCAGCTATATAATGGTATAATTTGGCAGTTAGGTAATGATGTCATCATCCTCCATTTTCCCCAAATGCTGATTTTTGCATAACAATATGGTCTTTGGAACCTAACCCTGTTTGTGAGGAGTGGGTATAGGAGACTTAGAATCCCCCCTGCAATGTAGGCACTAAACACAATCTATTGCCACTGAGTGGTTTCTGACTCATAGAGACTCTGTAGGAAAGAGAACTGTAGGGTTTCCGAGAGTGTACATCTTTACAGGAGCAGAAACCTCATCTTTCTCCCTCAGAGTGGCTGATGGGTCTGAAAGATCAACTTTCAGTCAGCAGCCAGCTGATAACTTTGGTGCCACCAGCGCTCCTTAAAAAGGGCAAAGGAAATGTGCACATGACAGTATCTGCTCTGGAAAGCACACACTCAGAATTTCATAAAGATATGGTCTTTATGAGAAACAGTTCTAAAGTGCTAAGTTCAATCATCACAACAAAGAAGATGGTTGTTTGGACTTTGTATAAGTGGACTTTCAGCTTCTGCTTGCTTTCTCTCAAGAGGGGAATTATTTTATTAACTTTTCTCTCTTAAAACTGAATTGCCTGAACTGCACTGTTTTCTCCTCATTTCCTTATGTCCTTTTGCCAATCACTTATCCTTCTCCCACACTGCAGGTTGCCAATGAATGCAGCATTTGAGAGATCAGAAATGTAGGCAAATAGCTTTTATTCATGGTTAGGTTTACACAGTTCCTCAAAGTGACGCCTAAAAGACCGAGAGGAGGCGCTCGGGTATTTAGTAGAAAGCACTGAGTCCAGGTGTGGCGCTGTGGGTTAATGTGCCAGACTGCAGAGCCATTAGAACTGCAAGGTCGGTGGTTCAAACTCACCAGCTGCTCCTTGGAAACCCTATACAGGACCACTAGGGGCCGGAATCGACTCGACGGTACTTCACAACAGCAACAACTGATGCTAACAGGAAGAAACTTGGATGGCGTCTTCACACACACATAGCAGCCTGGTGCTCTCAAACCAGTGTGGTGACACCTAGTGGACAGGGTTGGAAATGACTGGCCATGGTACCCGGAGCCCAGCCCCTGTGTCCTGTGGGCGACCACAGTGATAGGGAAGGTAGGACCCCAGCCAAAATGACAATAGTCTTGATGCCCACAGCTGCAGCTGGACAAGACTCAAAAAGCCGTCCGGTGCCTGTCTACCCATTTACTATCTGCACGGGCCACACAACCTACCCAGTGCCTTCAGTTGTCCTGAGGCATGTCCACCATGACATCTGCTAAGCTGGAAAACTGACTGATATTGTTGCATTCATTCGGAAGTAGTCAAATCTTAAAACAAAACAAAAAACACCCCATTGCCATCGAGTTGAGTCCTACAAATAGAAACCCCATGTGACAGAGTAGAACTTCCCTATGGTTTCCTAGGCGGTCATGGGAGTAGATGGCCAAGTTTTTCTCCGGTGGAGCCAGTGGGTAGGTCTCAACTGCCAGCCTTTATGATAGCAGATGAGTGCCTAAGCACTGAGCTACCAGGGCTTCTTGAGATATGCAAACTATAAAAAAAGAAAACAGATTAAGGAAACACACACAGGTACTTTTCATGGTACAGCTTAAACTCTGCACTTGGTCAGAAATGGATTCTAATAATCAGGGTTAATGAATAGCACTTCACATTTTCTCTTTTAAAAAAAGAGTTTATTTATTCTACCAAAATTATTTTGTTGCTATGGTGTGCCATCGAGTCGATTCTGGCTCAGTGACTCTGTATAGGTTTTCAGAGTTTCTGGTAGATTTGAAAAGCTGACCTTGGGGTTAGCAGTTCAATGCTGATCCTAGAGCTCCAGACCAGGATTCTAAATTTAGTTTACCCCGATCAAAAATCAAACCTGTTTCCGTCAAATTGATCCTTCCTCTTAGCAACGCTGTATGACAGAGAAGGACTGCTTCACAGGGTTTTCCAGGCAGGCACCATTGTGGGAGTTGACCAAAACATTGTTCTCCCACCACCGAGCAGCTGATGAGTTCGAACTGCTGACCTGTTGGTTTCCAGCAGAATGCTTAATTACTGCACAACCAAGGAGTCCTAAAATTAAGACAGATCAACTTCCAATGTTATGCAAATGTTTTTGTAACACTGAATTGTAGAATAATTTTAAAACATTATAATGAAGTGCTTTTTATACACTGGTTGTTGTTAAGTGCCATCGAGTTGGATTGGAGGCATAGTGACCCATTATAGAGTTTTCGAGGAGCGACTGGAGAGTTTGAACAACTGACCTTGTGGTTCAAATCCACCTGGCAGTCCTGTGCTTATCCTACAGAGCCATACCATGACCCCTAATCTGTGTTAAATTACTATATATAGGCAGTTGCCATATTACAAACGAGTTCCCTACCTTTAACTGCCTGAAAGTCAGTTTGTACATGACTTAGAACAGTTAGGTATAGCTCTCTTACCTAATGCCAATTAGTCACATGCTTCTCTTCATGTGTATTATATAATGTATCTTCCAGTGCATAAAAAAAATATTGAAGACAGGCTTCCAGGTACACTAAAATTCAAATCTTAAGCATAACAATATAGTAATAATAATAGTGATAATATTTGGATGCATGTTGCATTACAAACTACAGTCTGCACCCCGAATTTCTAATGTAGCAGGCTTCACTAGGGTCGTTTTGTAAGTACAGGATGTCCATAAATCTATGTTTGTCACCCGAGGGCTGCCTGTATAAAAGATGCAATTTGAAGGTTACAGTTGGTTCGACGTGCTACATACATTAAAATTCTGTTCCTTTAGAGCCCAGTGAAACTGCCAAATCAACATGCTGCCCATTCACAAGGGTTTGATGGTGAGCTGGGTGATTTATTATGAGTCAGAAGACATCCATTAGTAACATTCCAAGAAGCATTAGAGCAAAACATCAGTTGCCACTTTAATTCACGACCTGAGATGTACACAGAGTCGACAAGAATAAAAACCTTCACCATCATGTGCAAGTATGGTGGGCATCTCTTCTGGCAGCATCTAGCACATGTGGGAGTTTAACTGGGTTATAAAGAAGGCTTTGGAAAGAAAGGAAACTCAGATGGATCTCCAAAGAATTGGGGATGTTCTACCTCTCTTAATCTTTTTTATGAAAAGTCAGAACATAACAACTGTGATTGCAGACTACAGAAGACTTCATATATAGACTTTTGTTATGATTGAAGACCGGCTCTTTGTTGTTGTTAGGTGCCATCAAGTCAGTACCGACTCATTACAACCTTATGCACAGCAGAACAAAACACTGCCCGATCCTGGGCCAACCTCACTACCGTTGCCACGCTTGAGTCCATCGATGCTGCCACTTGGCCAATCTTTCTCATTGGGGATCTTCCTCTTTTTCTCTGACCCTCCACCTTACCAAACATGATATCCTTCTCCAGCGACTACTCCCTCCTGACAATATGTCTGAAGTATGAGAGACGAAGTTTGGCCATTTTAGTCACCAAGGCGCACTCTGGCTGCACTTCTTCCAAAACGCATCTATTGGATCATTTGGAAACCCATGGCACTTTCAATATTCTCCTCCAACACCATAACTCAAAAGTATCAATTCTTCTACGATCTTCCTTATTAACTGTCCAGTTTTTGCATGCATATGAGGTTATTGAAAATACCATGGCTTGGGTCAGGAACACCTTCTTAGTCCTCAAGCTGACATCTCTGCTCTTCAACTCTTTAAAAAGGTCTTGTGTAGCAGATTTGCCTAATGCAATATGTCATTTGATTTCTTGACTGCTGCCTCTGTGAGTGTTGATAGTTGATCCAAGAAGAATGAAGTCCTTGACAACTTCAATCTTTTCTCCGTTGATAAGAATGTTATTTATTGGTCCAGTGGTGAGGAGTTATGTTTTCTTTAAAAAAAGATGTAATCCATACCGGAAGGCTATACTTTTTGATCTTCATAAGTAAATGTCTTAAGTTCTATTCACTTTCAACAAGCAAGGTTGTATCATCTGCATATTGCAGGTTTTTATTTGAGAAGGCTGGAGTATGGGGCCCTATCCAAAGAAGCAGTGATAGCAGGGATGGAGGCAGATATGATGGAGAGATGGGGACTCTAACTCAAGGAGGGAGAGGGGCTATGTGCTGAAAGCCAGGGGCCAGGCTTGTGGATTATGCCCTTTAGTTGTTTGAATGATAATATATTCCTGAGAACTTTGGTGTACATCCCAAAACAACAACAACAAAACAACAACAGAAGGAATGGAAGCAAATCCTATTGAATTATGATGCATAGAAGGGATTGTAATCATTGCAGTGAAACGAAATACAACAGGATGAATGTAAAGCTGATGTTCTCCCATCTAAACTATCATTTAATTCTCTGTAAAAACTTTAAAAAAACAAAAACAAAAAACAGAGCTTAGTCAACATCCTACAGCACAGTAAATCCAGCCTCCATGCTCATTAAGAATGATCTGATCTTCTCCTTCGCACTGTCCATCACCATGTCTGTGCTGCCCCCCACCACAGTGACTCCTTGTGCCCCACACCTGGGATGTCTCCAAGCCTCTCCACATCCTCTCCTTCCATCACTTGTCTGCCTCTTTATCATTCCTAGCAAGGACGCCCCATACATGGACTGTCTCCTCACTCTGCATTCCTGCTCTGTCCACACCAAGGCATTTCTCATGAAGACAGGCCCTCCAGAAAATCCTGGGGCATGAACTCTCATCAGAACACCCTGCAGATTAGTCAAAAGTGAAGCAAACCAAATGTTCATCAGCAAATGTATATTTACACAAAATGTGGTTCTTCATAGATAACATCTGGCCATTGAAAGAAAGGAAGTTCATACTGACTCAAGGCACAGCATGGTTGAGTATCCAAAACACTGAGCTACATGGACTGTAGCAGATGAATGATTCCATGTAGGTGAACGCTCCAGAAGAGGTAAATCCATAGACACAGGAAACCAAGTCGTGATTCACAGGGTACAGGGAAGGGAGAACAGAGCATGGGCCTAAGGAACTGCAGGATTAAGGAGTATCATGTGGGAGGTGAACATGCGCTGAAACCAGACACTGCGATGCTGAAAAGCACTGTGAATTGTGAACCTTCAAATGACTAAAATGTAAAAGTTTATTGAATTTTAAATTAAAAGTAAAACAATCATTAGACTACACTATAAAGCAATATAAAATAAGAAAATAGTTGAATGTGAGCACAGAGGTGCCCTCTCCATGAAGGACATGAAGGTTCAGGGTGGAGCTGATCCCAGCCTAGGCTGATGCTGAAGTAGGTGCTGAGGTCAGTTCTACCCCTAGAGCAGGTTCTGGAGGGGGTGCTCCAGGTAGATTTCCAGGTGGAACAGAAGCAGGCTCTTCCTCAGGTTCTGGGAGTGCTGATGGAGAAGTTGGGGTGAGACCAGGCTCTCCCTGAGGAGGTGGTCCTACAGCTGGACCTGGTGCTGGAGCTAGAAGAAGAGAGAAGTTCCCCAATATCCCTAACTTTCCTTGTATGAAGATGAACACCTTCCCAAAGCCCAAACTCCCCTTCCAGAACTAGCCCCAGACTGAGGCCTTCAGAGGTCGGGGTCAAGTTCCCAGGAGCTCTACTCACCACCTGCCTCTGGACACTCCTCCTGTGTGGTACAGTCCCATGATCCTACACACCTAAGCCCATACACCCACCACTTCTTTCTCACCCTGGGGCTCTGTCTCCATGGGTTCTGAGGACTCCAGCTGAACAAGGAGCAGGCGGGCTCTGCGCTCCAGATCTGAGCCCGGCATGTTCAGCTGAGAGTAGGCCTTCACCAGCTTGAGGGGAAGCAGGTCCTGAGGTGGATAGAAATCCTCCGGATACTTTTCTAGCCAGGAGCCCAGGATGAAGGCCATGGCCCTGAAGGTGAGTGGGATGACAGCAGGGTCAGGGGCCTGGATTTCCTTCCACAAGGACCTCCACAGCACCCCTACAGGGGCTGGACCGCTCTGTGCCTGCCCTGACCTTCCTGAGGTCAGCTTCTCCCTCCCACCCCGGTCCTTGCTGTGGATGTTGTATTCTCTGTGTACATGGAAGGATCTTTTCTTCCTGTTGACACTGTTTTCACAAAGGGAAGGGACCCAGCCCCTGAGCCCCACATGCACCTGAGGCTAGGGTTCGGGACAGTTAGGAGCAGGACTCTCCCCTCACATCCTGTTCTGGGCCCTGGATGGTGGGAGGGACTGTGAGGATGGAGTCTCTTAGGGCTGGCTCTGAGCCTCTAATTCCCTCTCTGCTCCCCATTACATTTGGGGCTTCAATTCCAACTCTCTGTGACAGCTACCACCTTCAGGTTGAATTCAATCCTTTCATTGTTATCGATAAGTGATTTTGAGTTGGTTTAGACTCAAAGCAACCCTGCATAGTTTTTCTGATGAGTGGCTGGTGAGTTTGAACTACCAGCCTTGTGATTTAAACCAGCCTTAAAATGCCTTCCTCTAGGAGAATCTAAGTGTGGGGACCCAGCTAGCTGTCTGCCCAGTTCTGCTTCCCAACCACAGCCTTTACCCATGGCTCCCTATCCTCTGTGCAGACAAGAACCCCTCTTTCTTAACCCAGAGACTACTCACTCTCTGAGTTGTTCCTTGGTTCCACCGTCCCAGTTGGAATAGCGGAGGACACAACCATACCTAGAGGAGGAGGGAAGGACGTCACCTGTGATGCACTGTGGACACCCCCTGCTGGTGATGACCATGGTTCCTGTCTGCCTAACCAACTAGACTGGGAACCTGGAGGGTGGGGATGGTGTCTGCCATATTGATTGAAGGAGACTCAGAGCCTAGAATAGCCTCTTCTGCATATTTGTTGAATGAATGACCTCAAGCACTACCTTTCCTGATAACTGAGTGGGCCTGGTGTCAGAAGATCCTTCCTCTGGCTACACTAAGGATAAGAACCTACTATATGGAATCTCACACCCATTTTACAAATGGGGAAATGACTGTGCTCAGAGTCATGGGGTCACTGAGGAATGAGACAGAGAGCTCTGGGGAGAGGTCTGGACCCTTTTGAACACCACAGCCCCTTCAGCAGCCTCTTCTGCTGAGCCAGGCTCTGGGTGAGCACTGTCCGTGGCTGATTCCCAGGAAATCCTCAGAATACTCTAGGAGGCAATCCACTTATAACTGCACTTTGAGGAGCAAACAGAGTCCATAAAGGAGAAGAGATAATCTAAAGATGCACAGCTAGTAGGTGGCAACGTTGTCATTGGACATGAAGCGCTGGGCACTCACCTTCGGAAGAGAAGGTACAGGACCAGCTGGGTGGTGGAGAACTCTTGGTACCTTCTCAGGAAGGTCCAGATGTAAGAGAGGTCCCCCCTCAGAAAGGCAGGCACCAGGTACTCCACCCTCTTCTGGACTGCCTTGTTGATGTGGATTGGGCAGGTCTCCTCCAGGGCCATGGGAGGTCCCGGGTCACTCTGGAGGTGGAAGAGAGGAGGGATATACAGTCCGAGGCAGCACTATGAAATCCCAGGCAGGCAGGTAGCTCATTCTATCCCCAGTATGGAGACAGTACACTGAGCAGACACACCCCATAAGATTCCTTCTGATGGCAAAGAAGACATGCATTTTCTTTCTTTCTTTGCATCTAAGAGAATTGTGAGATCCTGAAGCTATGGTGTACCAGAGGGAGCCAAGATTGTTTTCCTGGAAATTCTGGATGGGAGAAAAAGACTCCTGAGTGCTCAGGATCTGACAGATGACATGGGGAGAAGAAATCAAAATGGTTGCTCAGCACCTGAAAGGTGGCTCAGCTTCTTAGAGGGCATTGGAATTAAAGCAACACTGTGAGCCTGTTGAACATCTTAATACCAACCAGCCTAGCAAAACATAGAGATCAATAGCACCAGAGGTGGGTGAGATGCAAGGACACAGCCACCATCCTAGACTGCTGGTGCCCATGTGGCTGACACAGATATCTGGAAAATAACCTGATTCAGTCGTGTTATTATTTGGTTATGGTGGTGGGAACCACACTAGGTGACACTGTCTGAGGAAAGAAACACCAAGATGACTTTCTGTAAAAATTTTGTGCCATATTTCACCAGGTCTGCCTCCTAGAATATTCTACAGCCTAGTTAGCAATCAACTCCTGATATGGAGGACCAAGGTTCATGAGATTGTAAGTTAGAGAACAAAGTTTATCATATCCTGAAAATGGCCTACAACATGTGAGGACACGATAGGCTGGAAGAAGGTGTGGAAGGACAGTCAATCTGATTGCTAAATGGGCCCCCTGTGATGGGAGCTAAGAAACTAGAAACAGCGGCAGCAAATGGCAGCATAGTCAGGGCCTAACAGGAAGTTGGTTGGTTGGTTATGTGCTGTGGAGTTGGTTCCGACTCATAGCGACCCTACAGGTTCAAGGCTGTATATCTTTTCGGGAGCAGAACTCATCTTCCTCCCGCAGAACAGCTGGTAGTTTCGAACTGCTGACCTTAAGTTTCACAGCCCAATTTGTAACCACTACCCTACCAAGGCGGGGAGCCAAATTGAAGAGGTGCAAGAGCTGAACAGAAAATTTCAAAGATCAGCTCGAGAAGATAAA